GGGAAATGTTCGTTTCAGACAAGAACTTGTGCCAAAAAACAGTTATGTCGTGCAACTGAATAATTAAATAGTCATATTCCTGTCAGCACCAAAAAGTAAAATTGGGAGGTTGAGAGGGAAGTGTGGATGGGTGGGCATGTGTCTGAATGCCAAATCCTTCTGTAAGAGACATCAGGTAATTCCTGAACGCAAAGTGGAGAACTGTGAGCATCCTTAGAAACGGAGGAAATGGTGGTTACGAGTTGGGCAGCCAACTGCAAGGTCAGCAGTGTGAAACCACCAGCTGCTGCTAGGGAGAGATGGGGGTGTGTGTGCTTTCTACTCCCGTAGAGTTAAGAGTTAGCCCCAGAAACCCACAGGGCCAGACCTTGTCTTACAAGGTCACGTCGGTTCGATGGCAGTGAGTTTTTGAGTAAGGGGAGGGTGGGATAATGGACTGTCCATCGACTTGTGCTGAATCATGTTTGGGGCAATAGCTTATAAAAATAAAAGTACTTTGTCATGCTAATAGTTCTCTTTTCATTCTTAGCCAGATGAGGATGGCTTAACACTAAGACCTTAACCCAGTACACTTGTGTTTCTTTCTTTATGGAAGGTAAAGCAGTACATGGAAGTGAGAGGCTGGGATGGTGCAGCCAGGTGTGACTCAGGAGAGGCAGTGCTTAGCTCCAGGGAAGAACACACGCGGAAGTCAGTGAACTGTTCTCACCTGTTTTCTGACTGCAAAGCCAACAAGGGTGCAGAGCACTCTGTTAGAGCGTGGTTTTCCCCAACGGCCCTAGCCTCTTGGTTTCCTCAGTATCCCTGTCCAGTATTGTCTGTACTTGGTTCAACAAGGCGAGTGCTCGCTGAATGTCATTGTAAGGAATACTGACACTGGACATTGGCACCTCTTTGGCATAGAACTTCCCCAGTCTGATCAACTTGGTCCAGGCTACTCATGGGGAAGGAGATGCCTGTTGCCTACTGATCTGAGATGAACTAGACCATCTTGACAGGACAGCTTCACATAACAAACAGTTGGACAGATTTCAGTTATGTTTTTCTGAAAAACCAAAGCAGCTCCCTGGGAATTGAGGTTAAAACAGGTTTCCTGTGGTGGTGTTGCAGCAGGAAATGGACAAGGCCCAAAGAGCCAGGGTGATTGTGCCTTTAGTTTGGGATCTGGAACAGATTTTGTCCTTGGGGCAGTTCTGACTCAGACTCCACGGGCAGGGTAGAAGTGCCCCCGTGGGATTCCAAGGCTGTAAATCTTTATGGCAGGTTGGCTGGTGGTTTTGAACTACTGACTTCATGGTTAGACTAACGTGTAACCCACACTGCTACCAGGGTTCTTGGTAGGTACCAGACCATATCTTACCAATTATACAAGGGGGTTTCAAGAATTATGAGAGAAAACTATTATCTTCAATTTCATTATTCCATAAAGTCCCTGCATTCACTTTCCTCCTCTGATAAGTGGTCTTTTAAGAAAGAAGTATTTGATCCTGATGCCTCTAAACTTGAAACCTGTTATTTAGGGCAAACATGCAATTCTTTACCACCACATGCCAGGCTCTCCTACTACCGTCAGATGGCTATTGCACTGCCTCTCTGGGCCTCTGTTTCCTGATACCAGAGGTGCCATTGCTCCCTTTGATGGAATAGCCACAACACTCGGTACTGGTCGGTCCCTCCTTGGGACTTACCATAAATGTGATCAAAGCGGGCTTCATCACCATGCCCCCAGACTGGAACTCAGAGCAGGTACAAAGAGCCTAGGACAAGCGGTTCTCAACCTGTGGGTTGCCACCCCTTGGGATTGAACATCCCTTTCACAGGGGTTGCCCGATTCATAACAGTAGCAACATTATGATATGGCAGTGGAAATAATTTTATGGTTGTGGGGTCACCACAACATGAATTATTAAAGGGTCGCGACATTAGGAAGGTTGAGAACCACTGCCACAGGAGCTTATAGTGGGAGGGGCTTCATGAGATGCTGAAATGACCTGTTAAGAGACTAGTCCAGGTGAATGAAAGGGAGTTTTGTACCTGTAAAGTACATTTCTCATCTAAGAACCAAGGTTTTGAAATGAACACTTTTTTTGTTTTTTAAGGACTGAAAATGAGCCCTTCCCCCAGGCCTCTTGTGGGAGGAGTGAAGAGGTGGGTTGTGGGAAGATCTTTTGCATACTTCTGCAGGGCTCACTAGGAAACCCGACTCATGAGCTAAACTGCTGTGAAGTAGCCACTTGCTCTACTGTAAAGTTCCACCTCATCTGCATTCATCATATTTCAAGCACTTAGCAGCACAGGTAGTTTAATCACTGTAAGCTACAAACAGTAAAAGGAAACTTCCATCACAGCAAAGGTTTCACTGGACAATGCTGAGGCAGTCGTTTTTGCAGAAAACTTGCTTCTCAAGATGTTCTACACTGCCAGTAAGTCCTCAGGCCCTGGTAGAGGAGGATCAGAGATTACGGTGAGGTCAGCAGAGCCATCGTCTGCATATAATTTCCCGGCTTTCCCTGTGCCTTGCAGATCAATCACAGGCAAATCTCAGTATTTTTTTTCCTTTTGTAAAGCAAGAGCAATTGTCCCTCCTGGGGAATGTTAAAGCTAATGTGGGCCTTGTGTGTGTGTGTGCTTGGACAGGTTCACTTCTCCAGGTTGTCCTTACCTCCCCCCACTCCAGATGTCTGGACCCTTATTCTCAGGATCAAGTATAAAGTAGGCAAAACAAAACCTTGGCTGTGTAATTGGCTGGAAATTATATATTGGGCTGCAATCTACAAGGTGGGCAGTTGGAAACTACTAGCGGCTTTATGGGAGAGGGGGCTTTCTACTCGTCAAGTTAGTCTCAGAAACCCACGGGGCAGTTCTGTCTTAAAGGGCTGTCATGAGTCCATATTGATTATGGCAGTGAATTTTGTTTCGCATTAGGTTCACCAGCAATCAGAACTTACATGCCAAATTTTCCCTTGTTAAGTGTCATGGTTCCAATTCATGCACCAAAAGGAAGCCTGCCCCATCCTCCCAATTTGTGTGTCTCAGCCACCGTGCAGATTTATCTTGTTGGGGGTCTTTCTCTTTTTCACTGACCAGCTACTTTACCAAGCACTATGCCCTCCTTCAAGGACTGCTCTCTACTGGGAATTGTGAGAGGGCCTATCTCACCACCCTTGCCTCTAAGGAGCATTCCAAGACAGACCTGTCCTGGGAGTTGTTTCAATATCCTCTCCCGACACCATTCATTCCAACCCATCCATGTGGCTTCCTTACTGGTTGTCCCGCTTACACAGAGATGAGGTGACCACAAAACCATGGCTTGAGTCAGTGCATCCTAGTCCTTTCAAAACGACAACTTTCCTCAATGCTTGACAAGAGGCTCAGACAGAGTTGCCCGCTGTAATACATGGTTTGATTTCCTGACTGCTGCTTTTATGAGTGTTGATTTGGAGCCAAAGCAAATCCTTGAGAACTTCCAGCTTTCCTTAAGTTTATCTGGGATACATGTGTTATATTACAAATATGCTATTTATATATACATACTAATATATAAAGGAGTAGGTACAAAAAATATTTTTTTTCAAAACTATGTATTAAAGGTTTTTACAAAATCACTATCACCCTCAAAATACCCTCCATTACACTTAATACATATTTCAAATCTGTGATTCCATTCTTGGAAACATTTTTCAAACTCATCTGTTTGGATGGCTGACAGCACCTCCCTTATTTTGTTCTTCGCTGCCCTTCCATGTCCCTCGTTAGCCTCGGAAACAAAAAGTCCCATGGAGTGAGGTCAGGTGAGGTAAGGTGCATGGGGCAAGAGAGGCATGCTGTTTTTTGCAAAAACAACTGGCACAGCGAGGTGGTTGCATGAGCAGGTGCATTGTCTGGTGGCAAAACCAGTCCCCCATCTGCCACAAATTAGACCTTTTTGGGTCACACACTGTTACCCTATCTTTCCAGAACCTCTAAATAGAAAGTTTGATTAACACTCTGACCTGGTGGAATGAACTCCAAATGAACTATGTCGACTTTTTTGCCCATTCAGGAAGTTGATGGACATCCAGAACGAGGTTACCCATCAGTATTTCACCTTTTTTGAAACTATAAAACTACTCATACACTTGAGTTGCTCCCATGCACTGTCCTTGTAAGCGGTGTTCAACATCACAACAGTTTCTACGGCATTTCCCCCCATCAGGAAACAGAATTTCACAGCCACATGCTATTCTCTGAAATTGGCCATCACAAAAAATGAGGTTTGAGTGAAACTGCTTTTACAAAATAAATTCACTGTGATCAGAGAACTGGGTGCACTAACTCAGTCAGATGCTTACCTAGCAGGAAAAACACATACTAAGAACGCTCTGCCCAGTGGAGCTTTTTTTTTGGAGGGGGTACCCCCTCGTATATATCAATAAAGTGGTTCCATACAGGATGCAATGAAGCTTAAATAGGATTAAGTCAATCAGGAAAACTCATTTTACTTAAAAAAAAAAAAAAAAGGTCAATCTTTTAAAACAGAATATTTGAGGAATTTTTTTTTTCTTAACCAATAGCTACTGCTAACATAGTTTAAACAGCAAAAGACCTTTTAAAATAACTCAAATTTACACTATTTATATGAACTAAGCTGTCTTCCATCTTAGCTTGACACCCCCTGATAGGATGCTGAGCTGGCCCCCACAAATGAAGCCAATTGAGTTGAACTAGAAAACCCCTTGGAGAGATGCTGGCCTCACCTTATCCAATGCAGGGTCTCTCGGGGCATTTAATGTGCACGGCGTCGGAAGCAGTGGTGCTGGTTACTTCGAGGCAAGGTATGTGCCCACCAGCTGCCCCGTATTCTCTGTAGTCCAAGAGGACAGCTGAGGGGCCAGCACCCGCCTAACTGCCTTCCCCAACATTTCTGTCCTGTATTCTTCTGAACTTGGAAGACAGCATGACTGGAAAGGAGCTATAAAATACCGAAGATTAATGACAACCACACAAGCACCAAGAGATACTCAAGTGTTAGAAACGTTTATTTGTCAAAAAGGGGAGGGAGGGGAAGTGGAGTGAAAACAAGGCTGAATTTCAGCAAAGGCTGCACCACGATCACAAGTCAGACATAAAAAACAAAACAACCCAAGACCCCACCCAGGCCCCCAATGGTCCTAGCAATTTCAGATTAGCTTTAGTGTCAGAAAGGATCCAGAGGGAACAGAGGAGAGGATGGCTGGTGGCCACCACACGGTCATTTGAAAAGGACAGGTGTGGTTGCAGGGAAGCAGGCTCACCTCCCAAGGGAAGCAAGCTGCGCGGCCGGCGGGGTGCTAGTGGCAGAAAGGGGAGTGGGGGTAGGTAGCGCAATCCTTACCTAGAGCTGCTCAGAGGCTTGACAGTGTAAGGAACAGAGAGAGGCTACAGAGACCAGTATCAGGAAGAAAGAAAAGTCAACTTAGAAGAATTAAAGAGAGAAAACATAGTTGGTCACAAACTCCTTTGTTTACTGAAACATGAAGCAATGGAAACATCCCGGCAAAGGGGACCGCGCGGAGCAAGCTCTCATATTATGATCGCAGCCCGAGGGTTCAGTCCGCAATTATCCTACCTGAAAGAGAGCACAACACAAGAGGCTTACGCAATGCCAGGGGGCGGCTCGGCTCCGAGAACAGGGGCCCTGGTCCCGTCCTGTATGCCAGGGGGAAACGAAAGCAGGCAAAACCACGTTGAGTGTGGCTCGACCACTAACTCCTGTAATTACCCAGGAAGCTACTCATCAGTAGAGAGGCCTCTACACACAGCTACAGTCTCTGGAAGACTGTGGTGTTCTGATTTTCTTATCCATCTTTTTACAGTCCCCCCCTCCCCCCGTTAATAGAGCTACCATGGCTGTAACAAAGAACGGATGAACATTATAAAGAACCACAATTTTAATTTTGGGGTCCAAGAAAAGCAGGAAGACGCCCAGATCTCAAAAACTGGCCAAATGCACTACTCTGCCTTTTTAAACTTCATCTTCCACAGCAAGTTTTCAGAAATGAAACTCACAAAGCAAAGGGTATCCAGGAGAGCTCATTTACTGAACTCTACCGCACCTGTACACCATTCAGTCGGAGGCAGAGAGAGGCCTGGTCCCCCTGGTGTTCCTAACTGGCCACATCTCCCTTTCCAAATCAAAAGATGAAATCACTGCAAACGCTTCCTAATTCTCCCATTGATGATGGGAATCCCAAAGTGGACTCACACCAAGTCCCTCTACTTATTACAAAGGGCCAATCTTGGTCTGCATCTGTGCCAATCGACTTCAAAAGTTGCCATGCTCTTGGATCCGTTCTGCTAGGGTGAGACTGGAATTTGGCTCCCCAAGAGTTGTGGAGTGTTTCATCCTGGCTCCTGGGACTGCAACAACCCACGGTTATTCAGTCCCTTTGATGTTCACACCTGGAAGGTAAGTTTTTTAGGAGTCACCACTAAAGAGGTTAGCTTTAACAGCCATTGCCCGCAGCCAACATTCACTTTAAAGTACCCTAACAGACCACAAAAATACTAACTCAATATTAAAATTAAACATGTGAGAGAAATAGATGTTATCGAACGGGTGATACCATCTTACTTCCGAGGCTTATCTTTCTCCGTGGCAGATCCAGCTGCATTCAAAGCATACATGACAAAGCAAACCATGGAAGGTCAAGACTGCAACACACACACTGCTGATGGCCGCCGCTGATCCCCAGTCCTCGTCACAGCCCTGGATGTCAACTGACCACAGGTTCATACCACACTTGTTTTCATGTTGCACAAAAGGGCACATTTCAATGATTTTCTTTTCTTCTACACTTAAACCAAAGAGGGGTGAGTTAGGAACATTGGTAACTCGGCTGACAATGCTACCTCAATTTCAACATACAAGAAAATCCACGGGAGGGAGTATAAACTCCTGAGCTAATTTCACTCAGATGAAGAGATTTACTATCGGTCTCCTAAAAATCCTAGTTATTCCTGGCCTGTCAACACCTTTGGAATACATTTCCTAAAGTAGGAGACAAAATATTCAGGGTCACCAGGAATGGGGTTTTATACACATTAAAAAAGTACCCGTTTGAACTGCTTAAATGCTCCTCAAAGGAAAAAGGCTGGAAGAAATGGAAGTATAACGTGCGGAGAGAACATGGTGGCTGTGCAGAACTCGGGCCTCTGGGTGACCACTAAAGAAGGGGCTCCCCCGGGGCAGAGGCACCCAAACAGCCAACTCTCAGGGAAGCCTCTTAGAAATGAACCAAGCTAAGCAACAGGATTTTCTTTGGCTTGTACATCAATGGTGTAAGAATAGGCTCCTTTGGTTAAAAAAAAAAAGACTCCTGACTCAGGAAGTGATTTTACCAGCAAATGGTCTAAAATTTAAATTCTCCCTTTATTCCTAACTCTCAAACCCGGACTCTCTACACCACCCATGATCTTGCAGTGGAAAGAGCAGGGGTTTGGGAAGTAGCCCGCCTGGAATTGGAGGCTCGATGCTACCTCTGGATTAGCAAATGAATTTGGGCAAAATAATTTACCTCTACAAGCCTTGGTTCTCTCACCTGTAAGGGAGGGGAAAAAAAAAAAACACCAGGTACTCTGCAAATGTTAGTTCTCTTACTTATTGGTCTATAACCCAGATGTGTGCATACCTGGTTAAAGAATGCTATTTTCACTGACAGACTGTGTCTGTTATTCACTCCAAAGTAGTAATCTGGTTAGAGCCACACACACAAATCTCAAAGGCTGCACGAGCCTCAGGCTTGCGCTAAAATGTAAGACTATAATCGGGCCTTCTGGATATAGTCCTGGCCGCAAACAGACGGCTCTAGCTTCCTCTAGCAAACCTGGGTCTCTTTCCAGAAAACCACCCGGACTCGGAAGCACACCCTACCCGCTCTCACCTCCAGTCTTTAAAAGGCTGAGTACCGGGCTCGGTCTGCATACTGCTCCCGTTCGTACCGAACCATGTCATACAGAGAATTCCGTGCAGCGGCTGACGCCTGAGACAGCTCACTCTCTGGCCCGTAACCGTAGCCCTCGCCAACCGTGGGGAGAACCGCTGCAGCTCGGCGCAGGGGGCTCCTGTCCCTTCCGTAATATGATGATGTGGTGGCAGCAGCCGCCATAGCAGCTGAAGTGGCAGCCGCACTCGAGTTTGGCAGCAGGGGTCTGTCATAAGAGTCAACGGAAGTGGAGTTGAGCTGACTGCTCACAGCTGTGTTCTGGACTTGAGGCAAGTGGGATGCGGTCTGCTCCGCATAGTTGTATGCCGAGGCCGCTGCGGCCGCTGCCACTGCCTCATATGAGCGCACCCGGTAACGCTTGTAGTAGTCAAGGGCTCCATAGGCATCGTTGTAGTACACAGACTCCCCGTAGCCCATGGTGTAGGGTGTGCGGACTGCCCCGTACTGCTCACTGTACTGCTCCGTGAAGTCCGCTACTCGGCCTGTGCGGTCTACGGGGCACTCTTTGGACCAGTGCCCCTCTTTCCCGCACCGATAGCAGCCGCTCTGGTCTCCCATCCCGGGCGCAGTCCGCAGCCGGCTGGTGGACAACTGCACGTGCATGCGTTTGCCTTGAGGAAATAGATGCAAAGAGCTTTACTACAACTCCCCCTAGCTTCCCCAACACGCAAGTCCATCTCCCCCCCCCCGGACTTTCTGTAGCTTCTTTGTGCATGCACTGTGAGCCTATCTCAGGAAGCTGTTCCAGATAACATAAGGGGGAGATGGAGAGTCCTCCGAGACCAGGTAACACTTTCTACTCCCCGGCCTCCCGCAACTTCCTGTCCTCACCCCCGGGGAATGGAGAGAGTGTACACCCTTCTCTGTGGGTTAGTCATTCAAAACCTGCCCTCACTTTGAATAGAACACCCACCACCACCCAGCTCCACTGGAAGCATCTTGCCAGTCTGTCCTGGTGAGAGGGGCACATGAAACCCGAGCACTTACAGTGGCTTAAAAACCAGCCACCTTCAGTCCAGCTTGCTTCCTCCAGCCAGTTCTGCAGGTGGGGCTGGCCGGAGGGTGCTATTGGCTGACAGACGCACTGCTCATACATGGCTTACCAGCTGCTTCACCTTCTGCAGGTTTCACCTCAGCCTTCCCTCAAACCAAACCTGCTGCCATCAAGTCAACGCTGACTCATAGCAGTCCCTGTGGTTTTCAGAGACAGTAACTGTTCATGGAGTAGAAAGCGCAGTCTTTCTCCAGCAGAAATGCTGACCATACGGATTACAGCCCAACATGTAACCACTACTACACCACCAGGGCTTACTTTCCCCTTCTCAGGTGGAATCCAGACCTACTGTGGACAAGAGACCCGCCTGACCCTCAGAAACACCTGGGGGCAGTATGCTGAGCCCTCAGGCCCCAGGAAATGCCTAACTGTTTATGGGCACCACCATACAAGCCACAGCCCCGCTTCTGGGAATGACCTGCACCAAAGAGCAGCTGAAGGGAGCTCCAGGTTTGGCCCAGGGTCCCCTTCGGATGAACGCATCCCAGATGCTCTTCTCGATAGGATCACTCTTGGTAGTCACTCAGCCCTGAAATGCCTCAGACAGTGCACACCCCCACCCTCACCGCAGCACTGCTCAGGCCAAAGACAGCAGAGGCGCAGAGCCCTCACTTCAGTCCACGCCTTTCTGGCTGATTTCCACCCTTTCTAATACTTGCCTTTTTAAGCAGAGGCCAAATGCCTCAAGATTTCCTAAAGTTACAAGATACTCAACCCTGTTGCCAACCAATAGGAAATGATTATCTTCTGAAAGCTGGACTAGATGAGAGTGTTCAAATGCTGGCCCCGTTGAGAAACCCTGGGCTCCCACTGCTGTGCTCACTCCATCCCTGTGTCAGTGGAGGGAGGGAAACAGACAGACACTGTCAGTCTGGCAGTGAGTACAGAGTAGAGCTTTCCACCCAGCCAGGAAGAAAACTCCTGAGTTCTGTTCTGCTGCTGAGGAGGCAAATCCAGAAAGACCCATGTGTCCCCTAATTCTGTGGCTTCTGCTCCCAAGCTACACACAGTGAAATGACCGTCTCATCACACAGAAGTGAGGGTTCAGAAGACGCCTGGTGTGGGGCTCTTCTGAGGCAGAAAAGGCTTTAACCCACAAACAAAAACATGATACCCTGGTACCTAAATTATATTTTGGGTATAAATGCAAGGGATCCTCCAGGGCAGAACTTTCTCTCGTCGTGTTCCTGGATAAAAGAAATTTAAAGAAAATGTAATTTTTCTACAAGTTTTTTAACTCCCCTCCTTTGTGTTTGACAGAAATTATTTCTATAGGAGTATTACATACTTTGGGCATGTTATCAGGAGAGACCAGTTCCTGAAAAAGGGCATCCTAACTGGTCATGAGGGGCAGCAAAAGAGGAAGCCCCTCAAGGAGATGCACTGACCTAGCAGCTGCACCAGCAAGGAGGATGCTGCGGGCAGTGTTTCATTCTGCTGTGCAGAGGGCTCCAATGTTCATAGGTGCCAACTGGACAGCACCTAACAGTAACGAAATTTACCCACGCTGCAAATATATTCACGATGTGGTAGGGCACAAAAGGGAATAGTTATGAAAACTTCTGAGAAATAACTAAATACCTAGAGGCAATGGCCTGAGAGTCAAGGTCAAGTGGCACAACAACTCAGCCAGAAAGTTCTATGTGCCGATCTTTGACATCCTACTTTGGTGAGTACCAACCAGAGTCTTAAAAGGTTATAAGCAGCCATATATCTCTCTCCCACCTGGAAGAAAGAAGGGCGGAGAAAACTGAAGATGGAAACAATCAGTCTGAAGGACTACTGGACGGACCTCATGGACACAAGCCTGCCCCGTGAGACCAGGAGGAGACGGTGCCTGGCACCATGACCAACGTCTCCAACAGAGTCACACATGAAGGCCCTGATAAGAGTGGAGGAGAAAATGTGGGGAAAGACCAGGTCTACTGGTCCGAGCCTTGCCGGAACCCTACAACCAGGACCCTCAGCCACTGTTCAGGTCTGGACCAGAACTCTTCCCCCACTGCTCAATTTCAGACAAGCAAACAGGCATATAAAGAGAAGCAGGGCACTCTATACATATGCAGAGAATAAAAGGGCAGCATTTACCTGAGGACAAAGCTCAGGGCTATGAAAGGCAGAGGAATGGAAACAGGATACACAGGGAGGGAGCAGGATAAGTGATGCTACACTGTGGGAATCACCATCAATAACAAAAAACAAAACAGAGGCAGAGTAAATAGAAAACTGATTTGCTCAGCCCACCATAACCCAATTCACAATAAAACGTTTAAACAAGCAAACCCCACCCCACCCCTTCCCAAACCAACTCCCCCACAATTACTTTAATTTCCTTTAAAGGAGGCTAAGTAAAAAAATATTGCTATAAACAGAAATTTATTAAACTAAAATATCAAAATGTGAAGTTCTTGTTCCTTGACATAGCCTCTATCTGGATCTCTACACTTCGGAAGGCAGCCTTTCCACCTCTCAACGCTTCCATGCAGCATCTTGTGCTCTTTCAAAATGGGAATTCTGACATACGAAACAGACTCAAGTTGTGCTCCTTTAAAACATTCTCTACATTTGGGGAACAGAAAGAAGCCCTAAAGGGCAAGATCAAGGATATCGGGTGGATGCGCAAGAGAATCCCAACACAACTTCTGGAAAACAGCCCTTGCCACCCACCCTCAAAGAAAGCAAGGCACAGCATGTTCATGATGAAAAATAAATAAATAAATTGCTCAACTTCTTGGCCTTTCCCCTATTTTCTTCAATAATAAGCCTCCATGACCCTACTGTGTCCTTTAGGAAAAATGATCAAGATTACCCTTGGGAATCTCCAAAGCAAGTCACTGGAATGACTTCTGCTTGAAGTGACACAAGTCAGCAGCCTCCATCAGAGGGCACTGTTTGGCAGGCAATCCCCATCAAGACGAAGACAAGTATATTACAGACAGAATTTGTATCAGACACATTTCCCCCGTTTTTTTCAGTTGTGACTCCAGACAGGATCCAAAGAGGAGTTCTGCCGACCTCATCTCTGGGTTTAATGGAGACTTGCTTTACCCTTCTGTGTTAGCCTCTTAAAGTACCGCAGCAACCTTAAAAGGGCACAAGAAAGGGAGCAGACACACTTTGCGGTAAAACAGTGCGTGTGTAAACTGGAACCCGAGTGGGAATACTTCCCTTCTTAAAAATTAACTTTTGTGAATTAGGGGGAGGTTCAGAAAACATCATTTTTGCATCCAAAAACTTAGAACAACCAACTCTCCCCCCTGGCTTGTCCTCCCACACAGCATTATTTGGAGACTTAACCTCATACGTGTTTCTTCTTTCCTTTTACCCAACCCAATACCAAAAAGGGGAGGAGGTGTAGTCTGTACCCGAGGCTCACCCATTTTGTCTGCACTCTGCTTGTTCTGAGAGGCCCTTTCCTTACTCCTCTCCTCACTGTCCCTTTGTCCCACCCCCACCCAATGAAGATGAGAATCATCTTTAAACCTGCGTGGCGTGCAGCACTATCCCCAAAGACGTAAACACACAAGGAAAGCGTAACTGCCAGGTCAAACCACTTTGCAACCACGAGAAGCACCACCGTTCCACATGACACTAGACTCTCGTCAGATTGTGCTTTTGTTGCCAACACACGCACCCCCCAGAATCTGTCCTCTAATTTCAGTGGGGAACAAACCACAGGGAGGCTCGGCTGCTTGTCCAAAGTCCTACGACTACTTGTCTGCAGTAAGTGCTTCCAGCATGGCCCTTTCTCCCAAGAGTAGTGAAAGTCGGGGCAATAAAGGGTTGGTCTCAGGTGCCTCATGGAGCACCTTTCCCGAGCTCCTATGTCTGCAGGCCAACCACCTCCCCTTTCCTGGCCACTGCTTCCGCTTCTCCCATTACTGCTGTTCTGTTCTCTTAGCAGAGGACCCTCATGCACTTCTCAATAACCCTTTCAGTGGCGCTCAGGACAAAAAGGATGTGGACTTACATACCAGAAAAGTGGCTGTGCACGCGGGTGGTCCAAAATGACACAGCCAACAAAAAACTCGTAGAGCAGGGCTGTCCAACAACTTTCTAGGTGATGGAAAAGTTCTCGCTCTGCGCTTAACATGGTCGCCACCAGCCTCACGTAGCTCCCAAGTGCCTGACGTAAGGCCAGCACAACCGAGGGTCAGAATTGAAAATCTTATTTCATTTCAGTGACCTTACAGAGCGATGGGTGGCTGGGGGCGATCATATTTTTCAGAACAGTTCTAGACGGTCTTCAGATGATCTCCTGTGATATCAATGACAACACACATACCTGTATTATTGGTATGAATAATGCGACATGCTTAATGATGCCCTTGCTGAAATCTCCACAGAAGCAGTGCTGATTCCACCTACTGGATTTTTCTAGTAACCATCTCTCTTCCTTCAAGGGTCTCTTCCTCCCCAGGATTAATTAGTAGCACATGGGGAGGGGCAGTCCTGGTCACTGTGGTGGATGAGGTTTCTTTGGTCCCCCAACCCACCGTTGAGATTGCCACTCATAGGGGCCCCTACAGGCCAGAGAACTGTCCCACATGGTGGCCAAGGCTGCCACCTTCATGGGGGCAGACTGTTCCCTCTCTCCCCCATGGAGCAGCTGGCTAGCGGTTTAGAACCACCGACCTTTCTGGTTAGCAGTTTAGTGCTTTAACCACTGTGTCCCCACTGCTGCTCCTACAGTGCCTTCTAAACCCAACCCAACCCACTGCCACGGAGTCAATTCTGACTCACAACCACCCTACACAGGGTTTCAGAGACGGTAAACCTTGACGGGAGCAGCTAGTGGCTGGTGGGCTTGAACTGTTGACCTTGTAGCTGGCAGCCTTATGCCTAACCCACAGTGCCCCCAAGGCTTCTTTATATAGTCCTCAGGCAGAGCAAACTTGAGTACCCACAAGTTACTCGCCTAGATCCAGATTCACCACCTAACCGTGTGACTTACGGCTTCTTCTAAGTGCAGTTTCCCCTTTTCTACCACTACATGATGACCCAAGGCAGAAACAAAAAGTACAAACCCCGCAAAACATCAAGTTTCCAATCTTAATAAAAAGCAGCAAGTCAGACCTCTGTCCTGCCATCACTCAGGAGGGCGCTCCATGAATGAAGCTCACTGCCTGTCTGGGATAACCTGCACACACCGAGCACGCCGGCTCATGCCACAGCAAACTGCCTACGAGCAGCGAGCGTGTGGTTTCCCATCCAGTGGATGCTCATTCACAGTGGCCGTGTATACAGAGGGAAACTGCTCCACAGGCTTCGGAAGGCAGTGCTCTTGCTTCTGAGGGGCCTCTGGGTGGGCTCGAAGCACCTGCTTTTCGGTTACCACTCAGGCGCACAGCTACTCACGCTAGCCAGGAACTTGTGCAGTGCATAACACACTCTACGTTTCCAGCTAAAACAGGCTGAAAGAGTCCATGCCCTCCCACCCCACCCCCAGCTCTTTTGATCTCTTCCACCTTGAGCCAGGTCCCCCCACTGTGACCACTGCAGGGCGGTTCACCTTGAAACTCGGTGTTGTCAAGGCCCCTGATGGCCTCCACGGCATCCTCCGCCCGCTCCATGTGGACGAAGGCATAGTCCTTCACGATGTCACACTCGATGACCGGCCCGTACTCCTCAAACTTGGCCCGGAGCTCTTGGTTGGTGCACGTGGGGCTGATGTTGCCCACGTGGAGCTTGGTGGACGCTTTGCTCTTGTTCTTGCTGGCCTCCACGTTGATGTTCACGCCGTGCAGCTTGTAGTGGTGCAGGTTGCGGATGGCATCCTCGGCCGCCGTCTTGTCCTCTATGTGCACAAAGCCGTAGTTCTTAATGATGTCGCACTCCAGCACCTTCCCATACTGCTCGAAGAGCGAGCGGATCTCCTGCTCGGTGGCCTCCCGGGGCAGGTTGCCGATGAACAGCTTCACCATCCTGACAGCAGCCTGGGAGGGGGGGGAGGGGGCGGGACCCACAAACACCAAGACTTCAAACGTTGGAAGTGGGGTCAGGAGTGTGGGTGCGTGGCAGGGTGCTTTCGTCAGGGGTGCCTGCCCCCCTTTCTACACCCTCCCGCGGCCGCCCATTCATCCTTCTCAATGGACGCGGAGAGGGGAGTCCTTCCGAAAAGTGCCAGCTGGGATGGCCAGCTGCAAACGCGAGGGAGCGGGCCATCCCCACAAAAGCGGGCGGGCCCGAGATGACACGATGTGCCGCCTCGTGTCTCAGAGCACATTTTCTGGGATTTGGGGGAAGAGGCCAAGCCGGAGGCGAGCGGCTCGGTTTTGGAGGGAAATCTGTGTAGCGCTCCTCCGAGCGCGACTTCCCGACGACATGCTCAAAGCATGAAAAACCCCACTTTGGATCCAAACTGGGAGCCCCCCAGGGGCCCAGCGCCCAGCTCCTTCACCCCAACAAAGACTCGAGCCGACCCCTGCCCCGCCTCCGGAGACCCGGACCCGCCTCCTCGCGTTGCCACCCCGGACCCTCCCGCCGCAACGAGTGAGGCCC